TGTGTGTGTGTGTGTGTGTGTGTGTGTGTGTGTGTGTGTGTGTGTGTTGGGAGTGGAGAATAAGGACTCATACCCCATGTCTTATCTCCGTCCTTGATGTCCTCCACACTGTGATCTTTTTAAATTGTGGCAAAATACACATAACATAAAATTTACCATCTTCACCGCTTATAAGTATACAGCTCAATAGCATTAAGCACATTCATGTTGTTATGCAACCATCACCACCATCATATCTACAACTCTTAGCATCTTCCAAAATGGAAACTTGGTACCCCTTACACACTAATTCCCATTGCCTCTTGCCCGCAGCCCCTGGCAACCACCATTCTACTTTCTGGCTCTATGAAGGACAGTATCTGTGCTTTTTTTTTTTTTTAAGATTTGATTTATCTCTTTGACACAGACAGAGAGTGAGCACAAGAAGGGGGAACGGCAGGCAGAGGCAGAGGGAGAAGCAGGCTTCCCGCTGAGCAGGGAGCCCGATGCGGGGCTTGATCTCAGGACCCCGGGATCGTGACCTGAGCCAAAGGCAGACGCCCAACCAACTGAGCCACCAGGCGCCCCTGGTTTTCTCTTTGATGAGTTTTCCATAGATGTGTTGGAAGCTGTGCACCCATTCACTTTCAGCCGCATGAGACATGTTACTGGCCTGGTGACCAGGAAGGTAGGGGGGGTGTCCAGCCGATGAATACAGAAGACAACATTACTCCATGGTTCTGAGAGTCCCAGCCCTCGGCCCTGCTGCTGCAGGATTGCTTCGTGCTCCAGGTCCTGGAAAGTGTCCAGTCTGTAAGACCTTGCTGAGAATCAGCAGGCGTGCTGGTCAGGATGGGGAGCGTGAGAGGTCCAGACCAGTGCTCCCTAGGTAAGAGTTCAGGGTCTCCTGCCATCACTTTTACCCACTCAGTTATTTATTCATTCATTCCACAAGTATCCAAATACTCCATGTCGGTCAGCACTGAGCGCTCTGGGGACACGATGGTGAGGGAAAATGAACGGGACCCCTGTCTCAGAGCTTCCAGTCCACTGAAGGAGCAGACATTCATCAACCAATCACATCTATCAGTATATAAAATACAAGCTGACATGAGACCGGTGGAAGAAAGAAATGTGTTCGGGGGCCCCGCACAGCCTGGCCTGCCCCGGGGAGGGGGCGCTGCTGAGCCTGAGTGAGGCAGGAATTCAGAGCCAGCCTGATGGCAGTGGAGGGAGGCAGGCCTTCAAGGAACGGTGGGTTTTTACAGAGCTCCATGGGCCTGGGGCAGGGCAGCATGAAGAGGGCGAGCTGACTTCCTCCCCGTTGCTCCTCCTTCCAGAGGCTTTTGGCGGTAGGGGGTAGGCAGGGAATGGTAATGCCCGGTAGGGAATTCTAGAGAGAACACGGCAGAGGACCACTGGACTGTAGCTGAGGACCTGAATGGGAAATCAGCTCTTTAATCCCAGCGCTGGTCTCCACTGTGACTTCAGTCAAATCTGGAGGCTTGCAGGCTAGCTGATCGGTGGAATGAATCATCTTGTCCCCCTTCATGCTGCTTACCTCACTTAGTTGAAGATGTAGACAGCACCAGGTGCCCAGGGAACAGGACCAGAGTGGGTTGGTTCTACATGGCTCTGCAGGCCCTGAGAACAGAGATAAATAAGAAATGATTGTGGTTATTAAGAATAAAGGATTATTCAAGTTAAGCCAACAAAGGAAAGTTAACAAAGATGGCAGGGTGCGGCCTACAGAGAAGGCTGAAGGAGCACTCGGCGCTAATTTGCAGGGACCGGAAGAGTAAGAACTAGGGGTAGGATCTAAGACTGCTTTCCCCAGGTTCACTGAACAACAGAAGAGGAAAACAGCCTGAGTTGTAGGCCAGAGAGGATGGGATTCGGTGACGGAGGGGTTTGTGTTAGATTCAGGAATGGAGCCTAAAGGTGGGGTATGACACCTAACGAGAGGAAAGGTCCCCACATGTGGGGTGGTTTTGGTGAAAGGCAAGCTGAGGGTCCCATCAACCTCGGCAGCCCCCTTGCAGCCCATTTCTAGCTCCAGCATTGTGTGAGGCGCACCACAGATCAGATCCGGCGACCCCAGGCTGACGGTGAGGAGGGAGGGCAGATTACCCCGAGGAATGGACCAGAGTTGCTCGGGTTTTCACTCTCCTTCCCATGTGATGCCTTTGGTTTCCAATGGAGCTAATAAGCTTCCTTCTCACAAAATTGACTCACTCTGCACCCCACATTCTTTTACTGTGGCTTTTGAGACAGCTGTTTATGGATTGTTGATAAGCCAGAGATTCTGCTGTATGCTAAGCAGAGGCACTTCTAGACTCTTTGCACACACTCTCCCTCCCTTCCTTTCTAAAAAAACTCATTCATATTTAATTCAGTTCTTCTAAATGGCTTCCACATTATCCTATCTTTCCACTTTGTAATGCATCCCAGTCTCCCTTAATGCACGACCTGCCAAATTAAACTTTATGGCTTATCAGCTAGAAGATTGCCATAGGATCAAGCCAAGTGTTCTTGCAAGTTATGTTATGGGCTTTCACACCTGCCAGCCCGTTTTCATTGTTCAGATGGGTATATACCTTCCTTCCCACAGCCCCGCGGTCCTTGTCTTCAGCTGTCAGTCACTCGCATGCCGGCAGTTTTGTGCGGCTGTCCCTTAGGTACCAGGGAGGAAGGGGGACAGTCAGCTGGGCTATAATGAACTCCCCTGGGGAGTCCTCATTTGGAGACTTACATTATTAGGGTATAAGAGAACACTTGCTTCCATGATGCAAATCAGCCTTGGCCTGGGGCCATGGCACATCAGGCAGGAGGCCAGAGGGAAGCGTCAGGAACTCAGCCACTGTGTCCTTGTCCCAGCAGCTGGTCCCTGCCCTCCCATCCTGTGTGGTCCTAGTCAGGCCAGGACTCAGCTTCAGTGTTGATTTATAACTTCCTTGCACACCATCTCGTCCAACTCCCCTTGAGAGCACACATGCTCTTGGGGGGATTGATACCTTAAGCCAGCAGCAGTTAACATCTTTTCAGGAATGAGTTGGGAGCCAGTTGGGAGCAGAAGGGGGGGCACAGCCTGGAGAGATGGGTGTGGGTCACTTACACGGAAGAAGGGGGCTTCTCCAGCGTCCCCTCAGAGCTAAAGGATCGAAATGCGTGTCCACAGAAACTGACAAACGTGGTGCTGGGGCCTGGGGATATTGAGTCGCCTCCGTCAGGGAAGGTTCTGAGAGTGTGACACCTACCTGCATCTTAGCAGGGGAGCTAGCATGGCGGGGGGGGGGGGGGGGGGGGGGGGGGGGGAGAGCAGGGAAAACTGACTGTGAAACCTCACTCCTCTGTCATTCCCTTGCTGAGTGGCCTTGGTGGGTCAGTGGATCGCTCTGTTTGTTTGTGTGTGTCTGTCTCTCTTCCTCTGCCTCTCTACTACTTTTTATTGAACGTGGCACTGGGCCATGTTCTTTATGTTTACTCTCTCATTTAACCTGACAACACCATGTCGTGCAGCTATTATCCTATAACAGGAGTCAGTCCAGTACCATTTCCATCCTTTATGGTTGTGAAGAGGGCCAGCTTTGGCGTCAGACCTGGATTTGACTCCTGACATTGTTACTTACTGGCTAGGTGACCTCCGGGCAGGGAACTTGAACCTCACACTTGGTCTATAAAGTGGGGATAATAATGCCCACCTAAAGGATTGTCATGAAAATTAAATATAAATACACATGTTTATAAATATATATTTATAATATATATTTATATATTATAAATATATATTATATTGATAAATATGTATTTATTTATAAATCTCCTAGCAAACTGCCTAGCACATTAGTAGGCACCCAATAAATAGTCAGTGTTGTAACATTCAAAGGAGGGAGAAGGGTGGTAAAGAGGTCTTTTGTAGGACAGGGCCAACTCTAGACATTTTTGGCAGAAAGCTCTGCAGTCCCAGGGCAGCCCTCCGTGATGATCTGAGTGTTGACCAGTACAGTCTGGATTGTTTTCAGAGGCTCCATGAGGAGTTGCCACTCAGCCTGGAGGACCTGGAAGATGTGTTTGATGCCCTGGATGCTGATGGCAATGGCTTTCTGACACCAGAGGAGTTCACCACTGGATTTAGTAAGTTCGGATGGGTGCTGGGGCCCCAGGGTATGCATCTACCTAAAGCTATGTAAAGTGCACGCATCCCCCACCAGATCTGCGGGTCTGTGTAGCCCAAACTTTCCTGCCCTCTGGAAGTTTCCGGGCTCTGGATTATTTGAGCCTCTTTTCTGTGTCCATGTCGGCTGTTCATACCACTCTTCTCTCCGTGCCCACTACGCAGTCACAGTCAGATCCCCTCCCACCTGAGAAGGGCAAGCTTGGCATAAAAGGAGGAGCGAGATGAGATTTCCAGCCTCTACATCTCCTCTCCTTTCCATGATACCAGTGCACAACACGGCACGATGGCTGCATGGTTCATTTCAACCTGGGTCTGGCTGAGTCTTCCAGATTGAGGGGAACCTGCCATCAGAGGAATTTCTAGAGGGTTTGAATAGACCAGTCATTATCAAGGTACCCGGAAGGAAGGTGAACAGATTCATGAACAAGATAAAGGAACCAGATACACCATCAGATCGGATACTGATCAGATATTGATCAGAGCAGGTACGGGTCAGCAGGCAAGTTTTACCCCCCATCTGCCTCACACAAAGTGCTGTATAGTTGGTTTAGAATTATCTGAGGCTCTTCCTGAGCTCTAGGAGCTTATAATTGCCTCAAGAGCCTAAGACAGATTGCTGTATATTACAGGCAGTGTGAGTATGGAGGAGGCGCACCCGAAATTGTTAAGTCGCTTATAAATGTGAAGCACCGTGATCCTGGTGGTGGGAATGACTAGATGATGTTATGGAGCGGTCAGGCCGCTACTGGTGGTCGATGGAGGGGAGGCTCTTATTGTTTAGAGAGGAAATCAGTGAAGAGATGAGCTCTAAGCCAGACTTTAAAGGTTTGAGAACCACAAAGGTGCCACAGCACTGTCATCCATTCCGTCTTTCCCAGGCTCTAGTGTCTCTCAGAATCTCGTGGAAGTGGCAAAGTCCCCAAATCCAGAAGATGGCGGCAAGAATGTTTGCCATGGGGGGAGGGGTCCCCTTTTCTTCTCTCGGATGAGCCTCCGATGATTCCTGGCAACTGAGGATGATAAGGTCTCCCTGGGTGAGGATTTATGGATTGCCTGGTTCAGATCCTTGTGCTGTGCATCCCCCAGGTCACTTCTTCTTCAGCCAGAATGAGCCAGGTCAGGAAGATGCCAGTGAACAGATGGCTCAGCTCCAGGAAGAGAAGGTGTATCAGTCCAGAGGGGAAGAGCACATGGGCGACATGGATGATGATGAGGAGACCCAATTCCAAACGCTGATGGACAAACTTGGAGCCCAAAAGGGTTTTGAAGAGTAAGTGGTGACAGGAACTGGGGGGATGGAGCCCTGCCTAGGAGCCACTCTTTCATCTGCCCTGTGTGACATCAATGTGTGCTAAGTGCTCAGCCGGGCCCCAGTTTCTGGGCTGCCAGCTAGAAGACTTGGCAGACTCTTGTCCCTGCTCTTTGCATTTTCTCATGGGAAACACTGCGACGCCCCTACCCTCCTACTCTCCGCACTCCTACCATACGTATCAGCACAGTCCTTGGCTCCCTGAGGAGCGCTGTGCAGCAGAGGACCGTGCCAGGCCTGGAGGGGTTCTCTGTACGTTTTGCTGGGGTTCCTCGTCCCTGCCAGCTCACCAGCATTTCCTCCTCCCCCCTCCCCACCCCCAGAGCCAGCCTTGGGTCTCAGGGGCCGCAGGGCATCCTGGCCCACCCCACAGTGGCGTGCTCCTGGCCGAGGCACCTCACGTGGAGGCATTTGCACACCGTGTCCTTGAGCTGAGCTAAGCCCATCAGGAAGCTCAGGCGGGAAATTAACCAGTTTTTACCAGCCCACCACTTGGACAATCAGCAACTCAGCTAAAAATTTCAGATGTCTGGAACTTCGACTAAAACATAATACCCCCATTTTTTTTTCCAAAATGTATTTGACATTTAAAATGAAATGAAATAAAAATAGGGTGAAATAAAATAAAAAGCGAAGTCACAGCTGGTGGAAACCAGTGGCCTAAAAACCGCAGAATACTGTTCTTCTCCCTTTTCCCATTGCCTTTTGCCTTTCCATTTCTGGGCCTCTCGGTCTTGGGTTGGGCATGTGTTGCAGGAGCGGGAATGGCCTAATGATTGGAGCTGATGCATCCCAAGCTTGGGAGGAAAAGGAGCTGTGGTTGAGAATGATAGAGAAGTAGCAGGAAAGGAGGGGCCTGCACACAACAGGCAGGCCAAAGCAAGAATCTGTAGCTCTGTGGATTTTTGAGCAAACGATTTGGTAGATTGCTCAAACTTCTTAGAGTTGAGAAAGGACAGGCAAAGGCCTGAGAGAGAGCCTGGTGAGAGGCTCTGGACGGTCAGTGCGCTTGCCCCCGGGGCAATCCCAGGACCCTGGGATCATGACCTGAGCGGAAGGCAGACGCTTAACCATCTGAGCCCATGGACGGGGGCAGGTGGGTGGGAGGTACTTTAGTCAGAGACCTGACTCAGCTTCTCTGAAGACAAGAGGCCAGAGCCCAGGGACCGCTGCCAGTGACCCCATGAAACCTCCTCCTGGAGGAGCGGGAGGAGAGGGCAGTGTGGACGAGCCACAGCACGGGCATGAAAGAGAGGCACCTCTCTGCCCACCTGTCCCTTCTGGGGCAGCCCCCTTCCTAGCAGGGCTTTCAGAACAGAGTTCACCTGATGTTCCTCGGAGGGCCTATGTCAGAAGCCTGTGAGGAACTGAGCCAGCATGAGGCATCCTGGGGAAGAGAAGGCCCTCGGAAAGGTTTCAAGGGTGGTCACAGAAATTGATATGCAGAAGATGGCGGCCAGAACTCTCCATCCCTGTGGAAGCTAAATGGAAGGCGGTGGGCTGGTGTTGCAGCATGAGGGGAATGGCAAGACCACCAGGCCCCAGAGAAGGACATAAAGGAGGCTGTGAAGACTTTGGAGGTCTTCGAAGATTCCCTCCCCAGCATGGCTTGTGTGTTGTTCTGGGAGCAGGCAGATGGGTCAGCTGACCTCCCAGAATCCCACCTAGCCCTGCTCTCTGAGTCCCTTTCATGGGTCTCACCACCCTTTCATGAGGAGCAAAAGCGGTAGACCAGATGTCTGGACTCCCAGCTTTTCCCAGTGGCCTGACTGGCTAAGTGATTTGGCAGTTTATGGGCCTTGGCTTATTTTTTCATCAAGAATGGACAGATTTGTCCCTTCTCCAGAAATCTTGGGGGGAGGGGACGTGGCCATGATGAAGTAGTTCAGAAAGCTTTGGAAGAGAGTCAGGTGGGTCTGCAAATCTCACTGGAGGCTCTGGCCAATTGGCTGTCTCATCAGGAACTTGGCAGATGTGAACAGACAGACCGAGGCTAACAAGGTGGACCTTGATTTTATAATGCAGGTACTTCATGAGGGAAGCAGCCTGCTCCAATCGTGGGAGGCCATCGTCGTATGTCTCTGGGACCCTTCTATCTCTGAACCCCTTGTACCATCTCCATTGTATCTACAGTACAGCAAAGTGGACTGCCCTAGCCTGTTCCGTGTGGGTGGGGCAACGGAACTCATTCCGGGAAATGAGGAGGCTCCTCCCTCCCCTTCTCTTGCTTCCCAGATCACCTCATGTCATCTCAGTGCTGGGTTCCAACAGATTAGAAGTACTCGTTGGGTGATGGGTGGACGAGTGGTCCTGATGAGTTGGAGGACAGCAAGAGAAGGAAGGAGGGAGGGGCGATGGATGGATGATCCAATAACTGACCAGTGGGTCTCCCTGTGCTGGGTGCAGAGAGTACTCTCGTGGTCCATGGCCCATTGCTAACCTGGTGCTGGCAAGTAGCACTTCCAAGGAAAGTTGCTCAAATATAGTACTTGTCACACAAGAACAGAGGATTTTATTCTTTATCCCGAGGGTTCCCGATTGTAGCAAGAATGTAGTCCATTCTTGATGAAAAAATAAGCCAAGGCCCATAAACTGCCAAATCACTTAGCCAGTCAGACCATTGGGAGAAGCGGGGAGTCCAGACATCTGGTCTACCGCTTCTGCTCCTCGTGAAAGGGTGGTGGACTCAGAGAGCAGGGCTAGACGGGATTCTGGGAGGCCAGCTGACCCATCTGCCTGCTCCCAGAACAACACACAAGCCATTCTGGGGAGTGAACTGCGGCCCTTCCCTTCTCAGTGGGTCTCCCTGTGCTGGGTGCAGAGAGTACTCTCATGGCCCAGGCCTATTGCTAACCTGGTGCTGCCAAATAGCTCTTCTGAGGAAAGTTGCTCAAATATAGTACTTGTCACACAAGAACAGAGGATTTTATTCTTTATCCTGAGGGTTCCCGGTTGTAGCTACCCTCAGATCATAGTGGTTTTAGAATTTAATGGGTTGCAGATCAAATTGATCTCAGGCTCCGTGTGTTGGTTGGCCATAGATTTTTGAGTTTCTCCAGAGAGGGAGAGCATGGTCTCTGGTGTGTGCTGCCGCCTCCTTCCTCCTGTCCCGGATCAGTGTGGCCGCACGTATCTCTGTTGCTCGGTGGTGCACACCTGCCCATGTGCCTGCTAGCCGGGGGTAGGGCTGGGGGAAGGGAGGCTCTGGGCACATCACTCTGTGTCTTTGTCTCTCTGCCTCCCTGTGTCCCTGCCAACTTTCTATTTGTTGTTCCGTGTGTGCACACGTATCTCTCAGATTTGTGCCTTCACTTCCTTCTGCCTGTCAGTCATTCCCGTTGCCACCGGGCCCCAGTGGGGTGCTGTGTATTCTCTTCTGTTCCCCGCAGTGACAACTGCTTTCTGCCATCCATGAGATGGCATGTCTTTACCTTCAGCTGTGAGGACCGTCCCTCCTGGGGCGACAAGCTCTCTCCTTTAGCTCCACGGCGTTTGTCCTCACACGCACCAGGCTCCTGTCCTCCCCTCCTCTTCCTGCCATTCTTTGATGCTCCCAGCACGTGGCTGTGCATGCTCAGCACCACCAGCCCGTAGGGAAAAACTGGAGAGTGGAAGCAGTGGCGTGCGGCGTGAAGAAGGTCGACACAGGAGCCAGGCAGCCCCGAGTTTAACTCTTGGCTGTGTCGTTTGCCAGCCGAGTGATCTGAGACAGTTCACCTCACCCTCTTCTGGGGGTGAGTAGAGTACCAGCCTTACAGGTTACTGAGAGGGTCAAATAAGCTGATATGCGTAGAATACCTAGCATACAGCCAGCACTCAATAAATGCTGGCCATCGTGATCATGATCGTGATGTTCTGGCTGTCAGTTTCACGTCTGGGAACCGTGGTATTTCCACACTCAGACATTAATGCGCCCCTTTCTCTTGTAGTGAAAGTGATATCAAGCAACTCTGGCTACAGCTGAAGAAGGACGAACCTCACTTACTGGCCAACTTCGAGGATTTCCTGACCAGGACTTTCTCCCAGCTCCAGGAAGCCCACGAGGAGAAGAACGAACTGGAGTGCGCCCTGAAAAAGTAGGTCCCCAGCCTCAGCCATTTGCTGTATACGGTTGTGAGAAACAGAAACTCAGAGTATGCTTTCTCATTACAGGAGGCTCCCTGTCACGGTCTGCCAGAGTGGGGACTGGGACGCGTGGCTGTCATAGTATATATATTTTTAAGCCCTTGCTCACATTAATCAGGCCCTCACCATATGCTGGGCACTATTTAAACATATACATCAGCTCATTTGGACTATTCACTGTTATGTCCATTTTATAGATAAAGACATCGAGGTCCTGAAGGGTGAGTTGACGTGCCCCAAAACATACAGCTTGTAAGTGGCAGAGCCAGCTCTCAGAGGGAGATAGCCCGGCTCCCAAGACTGGTTGGAAAACCACTCTCTCTGCCTCTAGACAGTGAGGCCCTGACACCCTGGGCCTACCCCCCAACTGCAGGCCAGCCCTGGGCCCCACTGAGTCCCCTTCCGACCACTCTCTGGAGCATCAAGCCTCACATCCGTCCTGCTGCCTCCTGGCCACCAGGGCCTCTGCAGTCATTAGTGGTTTCTAGCTCTTCTCCTTTGCTTGGAGGAGGCAGCCCCAGCAAGGTGAGCCCTGGACCTGAAGCCAGCTGGAGTGAGTCTTGTGCCATAGATGTGGGGCCAGCCACATGGATGTTCGTCCACCTGTGGGGATGGGTGCTGCGTGTGTCCAGAGTCATCACATGCACGTCACAGCAGGGAGCTCACATTGGGTGAAGCATGGTGTAGCTTAGGATGGTTCATTATCCTGAAGGTGTGGCCAAAACACAGGGCTGGGGCTGGGTAGCACTCGGAAGCACGCCGAAGCGGTCCTCACGGTAATTCTGCCACACACTCTCATCCCCGCCCAGAGATCACTCCCTGCACGGGAGTCCTCGACACTTCCAACACAGACCATGTGCCCTTCTTTGCAAAACTCCTGGTGCCTAGCACCGCCTCTTGGGGACAGGGCTTCAGAGTCCAGGCTGCTAGACTTCAGAGCCTCCGCCAACATGGCCTTGGGGAGAGCATGCAAGCCCTGATTTAGAAGGAGATCACCACGTGTCTTACAGCATAGATCAGCTATCCACACATTGCCCTGAGCTCCTTTGCATCTCATGCCTCCCCCAGATCAACTCTAAAAAGAACTTGCTGGGGTCTGTTCGGCATACGTGGGTCTGGAAAAAAGGACCCTAAGGGAGTCTGAGTTCTGAGAAAGTTGTGGCCAAGTAGTGCTAGGGAAAACACGGTTTGGCTGGAGGAGTATCATGAGCGTTCTGGGGAGAGGCTCCTGAGGCTCAGAGAAAGGAAGGGTTGAGGGTATAGTTCTGGACAGCTTTTAGCTGACTAAGCTGTGAGTCAGGACAGATCTGAGTTTACATCTTGGCTGCGCCGCTTGCGAGCTATGTGACTCAGGCTAAGCTACTCAACCTCTCTGAGTCTCAGCTTCCTTATGCATAAGATAGGGATGTTAACAAAATCAGTATTTGATGTATGTTAAAATAATAATCCTTATTATTTTAAATAAGTCTGTTTGTCAGTCTTAGAGGATTCGCTGGCGGAAGTGGAGAGCTTGAGGCTTGATACAAGCAGTGGTGAACTTCAAAGACCCCTTTATCCTTCCAGACAACATGGTGTAGAGCAAGCAGCCCTGGCATCTCCTGGAAATTTCTTAGGAATGCAGAATCTCAAGGCTGCCCCCACCCCTACTGAGTCTGCACTGTAACAAGATGTCCAGGTGCTTTGTGTGTGATTTGAGAGATGGGGAGCTGGCAGTCAGCTCTGCATTTAAGTCACATGTGGCTCTCCAACCAGCTAGCTTTGTGAGCTTGCTCAAGTCTCTTGGCCTCTGTGAGCCTTGGTTTTCTCACCTGTATTCGTTTCTGACCCTCCCTGCACCCCCACTTTCCTCTGACCCCAACGTTGATCACCCCAAGGAGCTGCAGAAACACTCAGGTAGCCCGTCGCAGAGAGGAGGGTACTCTATCACCCAAGCAGGGTGAGAGTGGTCACAGCTGAATGGGCAGGCAGTGACCCAGCTCACGGCCTAGAATCTTCACTGCAGGGTGCTTGTCCTGGCCTGCACTTCCACAGGGAGAGAGCCATGCTCTTGGCTGGTTTCAGAGCCAGCAAGCCCTCACATTCATCCTAAAGTGGCCTCTTTTAGTGCTTTTGCCCCAATTTAATGATTATTAAAAAGTTCTTGAGGTGAAAGTCAAGGCCACTGTCGGGTGCATGTGCAAAATGAGCTCGGCCATAGTTTCCAGCCCTCCGTACCCATCCTCTGTCAATATCTCTGTCAGGGACACCTGTGCTGGGTCAGCTGATGGAGGACCACTCCTGGCTGGGCAGCTGTGGTGGGGCTGGGGATTCCTGGGTTCCCTGGCCAGTCCCACTCCAGGGGTGTTCTCTGGGTGCAGAACCAGAGACCTGTAGGCTGTAGTGAGCAGAGCACTAAAATAGGAGGCAGGAGAAACCTGAGCTCTGGCCCAGGCACTGCCACTGATCAGCTGTGTGACCTCGGGCAACTAGCTTTACCTGTCTGTGCATCAGTTTCCTTACTGGCAACATGAGAAAATGGGCTTGGTGTTTTTCAAGCTGTTTTGTGATTGTCACTCATTAGAAGAAATGCATTTGGCTTTGCAACTCCCAGACACTTCGATGTGTACATAACTGAAAACTTCCTGAAATGGAGCTCACCCTTATTACATGAGACATACTCTGACATTCTCTACTAGAGTCTCTTTTATTCTCTTGTCTTCTGTTAAGAAACCAAAAGACTGGTCACATCCTGCTTCTGGGTTATGACTGGACCAGATGATCTATAAGGGTCCTCGGAGCTCAGCAGTCAAACAAGAAACTGGAAACCCTGATAGCATCTAGAATATTTAAATGGGAGTCTTGACAAATAATGCAGGGTGAGGTTAAGTGACTTGGAGATATTTTCTAGGAGATGAGTTGAGGAATTTGGGGCTGTGTGTGTCCAGGCATCGGGGAGGGAGGAGAAGGGGAGCTCTCGGGAATGGCCTGATTCAGGCTGGAGTTCGGGGCGCCCTGAGAACTGTCTGAACATCTCCTGGGCTCTCCATGGGCTGGCATTGCCACTCTGCCTGGAGAATGAGCGCCTGTCACAGATGTGGCTCTCGTCCTTGCTGCTGGGCGTCCAGCCCCGGCCAGGCCCCCGGGGACCCAGTGCGCTGTTACTCTGGCTCACCTGTAACAAGCCCTTACTCTCTGCCCTGCTCTGAGTTGAGCAAATAGAACTCAGAGTCCCCATCTTTGAGGAGTTTATGATCACGCTGATAAGGTCGAGCTCATACCCATACAAATTCCACCACAAAGCCGAGCAGAGAATTCTCATACCGTTGAAATGCCAGATGATGTTGTCATCGGCAACAGAGGCTTTTTCTTCCTTTTCCAGACCACACATCTCGTTTCTTTCTCCTGTGGAGCCCAGACAAAATGGGACTGCTGAGGGTGGGCATCCTGCCTCGCAGGGTTTGAGTTTTGCTGCAGTGAGTGAACCAGGTCCACTTCAGCTTCCTTCAGGTTCTCTCCAGGTTCTGTAGGGGAGGAGTGTGCAGTGGGCTTGAGTGCCTGGAAAAGCTCCTAATAGCTCCTGTCCCGAGACCAGCCTCCAGGGCCTTCCGTACCTCACTGCCCTGGATTGTTTGGTTTGGTTTTGTTTTTACCTGCATATTGGGACTACATCAGTCTCCCACCCCCTTGTCCTTTGGGGTGGAGGTTGGGTCAGAATCCTGGGTATAATGTTCGACTCGGTTGTGCGTCCACTGGGAAGTAGCCACAGCCCCGGGGGCACGGTAGGGACAAGGTCAAATGCAGGAACCTTGGGCTAAAGCCCAGTTCTCCTGCTGAACTTCAGAACCTGGAGGATCTGCCACATCTCTCCCAGGAAGTGGGGACTAGACTGTAACGGAGCTGTGCTCCTTGTGTTCACCGCACAGAAGCTCGGAGAACTTTACATTTAGTGTGATGGATACAGTTTAGGCTTAGGAAGAACTTTGGGCCATCAGAATTACAGATTCCTGGAGCACCTGGGTGGCTCAGTCACTTAAGCGTCCAACTCTCAATTTCGGCTCAGGTCATGATCCCAGGGTCCTGGGATTGAGCCCCGAGTTGGGCTCCCTGCTCAGCGGGAAGCCTGCTTCTCCCTCTCCCTTTGCCCCTCCCCCCACTCATGCTTGCACTCTCTTTCTCAAAAAAAAAAATAAAATAAAATCTTTTAAAAAAGTTACAGATTCCATTGCCATGGAAAGCATCTTTCCAATTATCTTTTCCTGGAAGAAAAAAAAAAAAAAGCTTCAGCTCTCCAGGGGATGTAGAGTGGTACTGTCTGGAGACAGCAACAGATTCAGACCTTTTTGCCAGAATCATTAGGGGATGCAAGTCCCACCCCAGGCAGGGCAGATTCATTTGATCTGGGGTGAGGACTTGAAGTCTGCATTTATAAACTATCCTGAGGGATTCTCACTTTTTTTTTTTTTTTGAGAGAAAGTGAGTGAGAATAGGTGGGAGCGGACTCAGAGGGGGAGGGAGAGAGAGAACCTCAAGCAGGCTCTGTGCCCAATGTGGAGCCCGACGCAGGGCTCAATCTCATGACCCTGAGATCATGACCTGAGCCAAAATCAAGAGTCAGATGCTTAGCCAACTGAGCCACCCAGGCACCCTGAGATTCTGACTATTGACCAGAGTTGACATGTGCTGCATACATGGGCATCTTTGGGGGAGGAAGGTCACCGTTTCCCTGGCCCAGGGATAAGGCAGCAAATAAGGCATCATGTGTAAATGGCAGGCGGCCCTTGCGTTCCACCTGCGCAGGACCTTAGCTGTGTTGTTCTCGAACGTTTGCTTGCTTCAGCATTACCAGAGGATCTTGGTTAAAGGGGAGTATGTCAGAGGGGGAGACGAACCATGAGAGATGATGGGCTCTGAAAAACAAACTGAGGGTTCTAGAGGGGAGGGGGGTAGGGGGATGGGTTAGCCTGGTGATGGG